CCCCAAAACCCCAAAACCCCAAAACCCCAAAACCCCACCCCAAAAAGCTTTATTGACCTCAAGCCTAACTTTATATAATTATGAAATCACAAGCAAGCTTCGTAGTTCTAGTGGCACTTCAATGAGTGGCAATGGCTGAAATAGAAGTCCACAACCCACCAGAATGAGCAGGCTGAGCATTGCTTCAAACTAGAATATGCACAGACTTTAACAGAACTTTCTGTTGTAGCCCCAATGAAAAGACACCCCACTGTGGAGGCGATCCAGAGTCCATATGCACAGATGATTTCGATCTTGGAGAAGGCTTTGGGCCTCACTACTTACTGTGTCCAAACGCTGACTTTTGAGGAGATAGAAATCTCGTGGCTAATCAAACTTTAGTTAACATCACACAAGAAAGAGAAGAATCCTCTTGGTTTTATTGCAATTATGAATTAAAACATTCTGGAGAAAGTGCAACAGGGATAAAGTTTCAGAACTCTTCTGCTGATGGAGTATCACTTTATTTATACAAAAGAACCGGTAAAAAGAGTGCAATCTCACTTGGAGAAATTTCAGACAAATCTTACGAATTAACCAAACATGAATCCTTAATAATAGCCGCTCTTCCCTTTTATATCGGGGATACCTCATATAGCTTTAGCTTCAACTCTTTTCAATCCCCAAACCCTGACCCGAAACCAGATCCCTCCGACCAAGATTCCTCAAAACTCCTCCTCATAATCTCAATCTCCACCGGTATCGCCCTTCTGCTCCTCATCGCCATCATCACCCTCACCTGCTGTATCATCAGAAGAAAATCCCGCTCTGGCCCCAGCCAAGATCCTCAAAAATACACTCATCTAGTACAAGACCAGACCCAAGAGACTTCTGCTTAACACCTTCTTCGTAAGCTAAGGCTTGGTTCAAATAGTCCAGGTCAGTTCTGGCATAGTTCGACCAGGGTTTTGAGCATCGACCAAAGCTTGGTTCAATCCTTAGATTTGGATGGGGTTTTGGGGTTTTGGGGTTTTGGGG